AAAATGGGCATTTTTGAAGGCTCATATCTCAGTGAATAATTTTTTTCAGACAATGGGAGTTGGAACACATCATTAGTATGGTCAGGCAATCATATTAAGCAAATAAAAAAAATATCTCAAAAATGCACTGAAGTTACCCTTTAAGGTAACAGGGAGTTTAATTGGCTTAGTTTTTGAGTAACTTTAAAAATTCGCAAAAAATCCAATTTTGATCAGAATCAGCTCAAACTTGCTATGCAACATAAGAACATGTATATGTATCAGAAAAAATTATAAAAATGGAAAATTCTCTCCTAGTCATTTTTGGCAAAATTTGGTCAACGACCCTGTACTATAGTACAGGGCCGTTGGCTCCATTTTTGAGCAAATTAAAAAATTCATAAAAAATCCTATTTTGATCGGAATCAGCTTAAACTTGCTACATAGCATAAGTACATGTATAAACATCTGAAAAAAATTATTAAAATGGAAAATTCTCTCCTAGTGATTTTTGGCAAAATTTGGCAAAAGAGTTTGAGCTGATTACATTTTTAATGTATTTTACAAGTTAATGATTAATTTACTGGAAAGTTCCTAGCGACAGATGTTGCTACCCAAAGACGTCTCTCTACCTCTCCAGTGGTAGCCATTGCAAATACACGCCCACCTGCCGAAGGCTTTTCAGGTAATGTAAACATGCCTATAAGAACAAGAACAAAAAAAAGTAAATTAATTAATTAATACAAGTCTTTAATTTTGAGAGGTGAAATTCTGACGGAAGTGCTAAATTTTGGTAATTAGCAAATTTTAATTTGGCGAATTTGTGGCCGTGTGCCATTGAGCATGTGCATAATGGCTCAAAATGGCTGGGTTTATTTTGGTAAGCAGCTATCAAAACTCAAAAAATTCTTCCTCCAAAATCACAGTATGATTATTTTAAAGTCGTGACGATTCCTACCTTTGGCAACATTAAATAAACTAAAGTTCCTCTCAGTGTCTTGTCTTGACCAGGTCCACAGGAGGTATTGAGTGTTTTCACAGACTGATTCATTGATGACTGGCTGACAATATATGGTGTCTATCTTCTGTAGAGGATGCTGCTGGACTCTTGAGACAGTGTGACGACGACACAGGAAACCTGGAGCTGATATCCTTTGGACAACCTAAATAATGATGATGATAATAATAATAAGAAGAAATTAAATTATATATAGAGTGCTTTACTTCATTTTAATTTACATGTATCATAGCAGCATAATAATACTAAAATAAATATACTAATACATAACACATTTCAAATAAATGAATCACTAAATTCACTCTATATTATGTACTAAAAGGTTTCTATTACTTACTTCATCAGCAGTTGGTCTATCAGCTGCAAGGTGTCTCCAGCAGTCCTCCATTAGCTCTATCATCCCAGGGAAGGATGGCTCCATGTTACCTTCAGATACCTGAGGTCTCTCTCGCTGTATAACGGCCCTATTGACCTCCTGGCCGGTAGACATTGACTCAAACGGTCTCTGGCCAGTTATCAGCTCAAACAAGAGCATACCAAATGAGAATATGTCAACCTGTCAAGAATAAATGAGAAGAAATGTACATAATACATAATTCTTCTATCACTTTTAGATAACTCATCAAATCAATGCATGATTGATACTATTTATAGATACACATACATTGAGTAATGAATGGTTGATGCTATTTATAGTAACACAGACATTAAGTAATGCATGATACTATTTATATAACATACATTAAGTAATGCATAATACTATTTATAGTAACACCCATTAAGTAATGCATGATACTATTTATAGATACAATTGTTGTACCTTCTCATCAAAGGCTTGGTCTTCTCCACGTCTCTTGATGGCCTCAGGTGCCATATACCCAGGGGTACCCTCCTCACCTTTAATACCACCTGGATTAGCAAACCTACCAATAGGATATATATATATACATCATAAATTAAACTCAAAAAAATGATTAAGAATACAACACTTTCCCTCCCTTGATTCTCTACATTTCCTACTCCCTTTCTTTTCTCTCTCTCCCTCTCCCTCTCCCTCCCTCTCTCTCACCCTCTTTCTCTCTCTCTCTCCTCTCCTTCTCTCTAACAGAGCACAGGTATATGTCATTACCTTGATATTCCATAGTCAGCAAGTTTAGCATTAACAGACTCATTAACATCAAGTGACCAGATCAATACATTATCGGATTTTAAGTCGCGATACACAATCCCAATCTTATGAAGATACCTTGTAGCTAGAGCAACCTAGCGGGATCAGAGAGAGAGAGAGAGAGAGAGAGAGAGAGAGAGAGAGGAGGGGGAGAAGAATTAAATGAAATAAAATTCCAGACACACATTTTGAACAACTAATATAATCACAGACAGTTGAAACTTATGTACATACATAATATTGCATATTCATACTTGTAAAGCAATTCTAGCTGATATCTGATGGCCTAGTACACCTCCTGGCATTTTGATGTTTGCAGTAGGCAGGTCAGCTTGGGCAGTTTTTATAGCTTCAAGTTTCTTGTCAAGAATACCAAAGAGACTGCCCATTGGGGCTAGTTCAAGAGCTATACACATAGGCCTCAGTGATACACCTAATAAAAGAATAATAATAATTATAATGAATCATCTCACTACAATTACTGTATATCCCATCATATTATAATGATGAGGAATTCATATGTAGCATCATGCTGGAGTGTTAGGTATATGTGTATGTACAACTAGCATTACCTAATATTGATACAATGTTAGGATGTGATAGTTGAGCCAGCACTGTCACTTCTTGTCTCATATCACGATAGAGGAACAGTGCTTCCCCTGAAGATATACTATCATCCTAAATATACCAAAAAACATAAATGCTTAAGTTCAAGACTCTCTTTCTCTCCCTCCCTCTCTCCCTGCCTCTCTCTCTCTCTTCATTACATCATGGTAGGTATGGATTCCTCCAGGAGGCAGTTCATCTTCATCTTGGAAAGCATCAGCTTGTGATTGAGTAAGAAACTCCTTAACAGCAACTGGAACATTCCTGTACTTCCCTTTATAGACAGCACCTGCAGCAAATAATTAATAAATAAAAGTTGTATTTAGTTAAATGTGCCATCACTCCATTTCTCTCTCTTTCTCTCCCTCCCTCCCTCTCCCTCCCTCCTTCTCTCTCCCCCCCTCTCTCTCTCATCACCTGCTCCTCCTCTTCCCAGTCGAGTGGAGAGGTCTTTCGGATTGAATTCAAAGCAAGACTGATCTATTATTAAATTAGGAGGAAGGTCAGTCATCAGGAGATCAGGGACAAGAGTGGAGAGAGGGACATGAACATCATAATCAGCACAATACACTGTATCCTTTGGGAAAGAGAGAGGGAGAGAGGAAAATTTAAGAGAGAGAAAAATACAATAGAAAAAGTTTGATTAAATAAAAATAAAATTTCAAGCCAACAGTAATACTAAAAGAGTGTACACATACTTGTTGTAGAGCCTTTAAAGCACAGTCCTCCAGTTTAAAGATGAACACCTCTTGATTGAGTGGATCATAGAAGCACTCAGACTCTGTTCCAGGCTCAGCAGATATGGACTCCTTCAGCTCAGGGGGTGTAATCCACAAAGCCTGTCTCTCAACCAACCACTCACCATCAAGATCAAGATCATTAAGACCTAATGGATTACACATACAATATCAGAGTAAGTAATGGAACAATGTACATATAAAGTAGAAGAAAAGAGTATTTGTACTATGTACAGTTGGCAGTTGCAGAATGAACATTTTCTATAGCAGACACACTCTATTGTAATGGGCACATTTATACCATATATGCTACATGCACATGAAATAACTTCATTAAAAAGGACACTCTCGATGTAATATCCTATAACTGTAATTTTAAAAGATTACACTAGTATAACAGAACAATCTTACATGTACATACAAGCAGTTAACACACTAATCTCTCTTCCCCCCTCTCTCCCCCTCTCTCTCTCTCGCTCTCCCTCCCCCGTCTCTCCCTCCCCCGTCTCTCTCCCTCCCCCGTCTCTCTCCCTCCCCCGTCTCTCTCTCCCTCTCCCCCTCTCTCTCCCTCTCTCTCCTCCCTCTCTCTCCCTCCCCCCTCTCTCTCTCCCCCTCCCCCTCTCTCTCTCCCTACCTGGGAACCATTCATCAATAAGCGAGTCCAACTGATCAACAACATATCCAATAGCAGAGAAGTCGTCATTATTAGACCAAACAGTGATGTCCACTCCTTCAATGGGCTGAGCTGTCTTATCAATACCGGCACCAAGGAACTTGACTGAAGATAGCATGGGATCATTAGCAGAAACATCTTGAGAGAAAAATAAAGTATAATTTTAAAAATAAATAATGCATAGTCAAAATTTTATATTAATAATTCGCAATACTGAAGATGCAGCTCTCTACCTGTAAAGGTG